TATTTGTATTTCAACTACGCAACGAAAGCATATGTTGTATACACTCTAAGCGATTCTGACACGTGGCCAATTTTAAATATGACAGACGTTACCTATGTCATTTGTCCCACATATATCAATATAAAAAATTGGTTTTATTTTTACTTTTCAATATATATCACGTGACCAGACAAAATCTCTATATTAAACTTAATCTGCTCATTACATAGTATTTGGTTTCAACTTGTCGTTGTGTGAAATGTATTATTGGAGAAGAACACGCGGATGGCCATAAATTACCATAGTTACAGAAGAATAAGCAATGTTCCACATGCAATGCAACTTGTGATATGACAAATTTATCAATAGAAGCTCAGTCTCTGATAACTACCCTTGTTTCCAATTGCAATATTCTATCTTAAAAGTGTAGGTTAAATTAGTAGGTTGGCCGTTTTACTAAGCCACGCATGCACATTAATATATGCGCCTGCTTAAGTTCATGGTTGCATACGCGAATTTGAATCCATTGCATTCGGTATAATGTTTTTAAAATACAAAACAAACACGAATTCTGAAATACGTGAAATAAATGGTCAGAACTACAACAATTTATCACAGTTTTTGATTTGATATCAGCAAATAAAGGTACATTCTCATGTTCTGATTGGAATGCCGTCGGCGACGTCGTCGCACATTGTTGATAATACCGCACCACCAATAGCGGCATTCGCTTATACGCAGAGCGACGTGACGGATCATCAACTCGAAAACTACTCGTGCAATTTATTTCTTTACTCACCGAAAGTTAATTGCAGTAGAATATTTACTAATCAGTTATTTTCAACCGGAGTTCATCAAATCCCATTTAAAATAACTACTTTGAATTCTCCGCGTTCCAAATAAGATGACAAGACATATGTTCAAAGTTTATTTGTATGCATCCACGTCTCGCGCAGAATACGCGTTCTTCTGTCATTAGTGACGGTTGTCTGCGCGCATCGACTTAATTGTTCAACTCACGATGTTAATATAATTTGCCTTTCAAAGAAAATAAAACACACACACATATTTATTTATTTATAAATCCCAGAAAACAATATATTTATTGAAAGGCATCTGCGCCATAAACGAAGCCCGTGGTTCCAGTGGTAAGTCGTGTTTTATCTGTTCTTACTGCCTTAACTGTGATATGTATGACATATGTGAGAATCAATTGTATATCGCTAATGTTTAATTCGGCAAGTTTACAGTCTTTTTATAAAGATACATATTTTGTATCTATTGCAATTGAGCCTTCAAGTTGTTTTTGTCTTTCACAAGCGCTGTGCATAATATCTTTATATCTGTATTCCCGGTGAAACATGCTGGTAAACATGATCATCTATATGTTTTTGGTAAGTATTAAAATCAGTATCATTTATTGTATCACACGGATTAAAACAATATGAAAACACAGCACATGGGCCTTTAAAACAATATGAAAACACAGCACATGGGCCTTTAAAACAATATGAAAACACAGCACATGGGTCTTTAAAACAATATGAAAACACAGCACATGGGCCTTTAATTCGCGTTCCTGAACTGCAGCACACAACAACACGCATTATACAGATAGGATTCAACATTTAACACCGATTCTCGGACTGCTAATATTACGCTAGAAATGTTTACTAGCAA